TCCCTTTGTTATCCAATTCCATTAGACAATATACTAATTAGTATACCCATTAATCTCAAGAGAGGGGAGGAACCCCTCTTAATTGGCTAAGGTCAATTTGGTATACTAGAGTATTAATTAAAATCACAATAATTACTAATTATAATGTATTGATTATAATTGATATATTAAATAGTCATAATACTAGTGTTATGACTCCTTTCTAATGAGGATAACGGCCTAATATAGGATTAATATGTTGGTCTTGCTTTCTCTTTATATAGGCCAACCTCCCTCGGTGTTTACCCAATGAGAAAGGATATCGATTTAATATAGAGGGAGAGGGACCGTAAGTTATATAATTTGTAATAGGTTATCATATTATATGAAGTGATCATATGCTTAATCATGGGAGAACTCACCAAAATTTGGCCACTCTCTCTCTATATACCATGATAGAGAGAACTTTATACTCATGATATGAAAGAAAAATTTTTTAAGTTAAGTAAGCTATAAAATTCACCTAAGCTAAAATGAGGGAGAGATGAGAATCCCTCGTTAGTTTAATTAGAGATATGGCTAATTGAGGGAGAAGTGCTTAAGTATACTATTATCTAACTCATAATTTACCAATGTTAAATATAATCATGGTATTATTTGATTAATCACCTAATGTTATCATAATATCCTTAGTAGGTGATTAGTCTATTATAGTCGAGCTATAATAATATCAATTCACTCTACTTTTATAGTTGCCCATAACCATACATTGTCATCTTGTTAATATAAATGATATAAGAGTTTCCTTTTAGATAGTGCAACCATATGGAGGATTTTGGTTATTAACATGAAGGGATATTCCCTCACACCCATATAAGGGTAAAAGAATAATACACATCTCTCCATAATTTAGGAAGGAAGAATATATTGATTAAGTCAGTTTAAAGGGTTGGTTTGGTCTACCATTATTCCCTATAAGATAAAATTACCCTCCCTAATTATTTAAGAGGCAATTCTATAAATAATGGTTATGATCGTCCTAAAATCATAACCATTAATATGCTAGGTCATCCATAGTCAAATGACTAAATTATTATAAGTTAATCCATACACGTTTGGTGATTAAAATAGTCCTTCATTTATTATCAACTCTCTCAAGTATGGTCACTCAAGTATATGTTAGGCTTTGTGATCAACCCCCCTTTCACTCCCTTATCAATAAAGAGGGTCCCAATGTGAATAACCTATTCGTAGGCCATTTGGATGGTGTATTATGGTATTTCGAGAGATGAATCCTATAAGATTAATTCAAGCATAGAATACCTCTTTTCGCATGACCACATAAAAGAGACTTATCACTCGAGTGTTATAATAGTTTAACTCCTTAATATTTAGATCACATGGCAGATAAGCTTCCTCTAATAGTGATAATAGGAGTTTTAATAATTAAACTAGAGAATATGAGAGAGAAGGTAATTAGCACTAACTTATAATTGGCCTTGAATAACGAAAGACAATATGTGATCTAAATTTTAGTTATCCATATTTATATTATTTAATCTCCCATTCAAGATATTGGTAATTTGTGATAGGGAATATGGTTAAATCGATATTAATAAGATTTGTATAACCCCTATTTACTTAATACTTATCGGAAGGTACATTACAACATCTTTATAACCACTTTTGCATGTCTCATTGTTAACCTATGACTAATAACTCTTGAATTGCCTCATGATTAACGTGGTTTCATACATCCATAAAATAATTATTTGAATCAATAACATGACACAAATTATAACATGGCTTTTTGATATATTGGTTTATTTATCTATATGATTGGGTTATAACATTTTGATGGACCCCTCCATTTAGGATACAAAAAATATAGGTCATTATTACATGTACCGATAAAAGATTGGCCTTTTTGATAATGCGAGTTATGATCATCACATAGGAATAAAAGTTTAAACCAAGTAGCAATTCTCCTAAACACATGCATTATCTTAAATGGGGATAGGTCATCCATAGTCACCCCTCACCATAAACGAGTAAGGGTTCCTTTCGATATACCTTAAGAGGAAAATAGCCCCCTCCTCAAATACCCCTTATAAATTTACCAATACCATCTTTATTAACATACTAGTGCTAATGTCTTGACTACCATTGAGTTATTATATTTTAAATGGTTTCTTGAGTGTAATTATTATTATTTATAGACTCTAATGATAATTATAAGGGATAATGGGGACACCTAATTGTGGTCATAATATAATAACTCAATGATAGTCAAGACATGATCATGAAAAAGGTTAAGCCTCCACATAAGCTTGTAGGAGCCTTTACCTATATGGAATATACCTTAATTATGAAAACACAAAGTATAAGTAGATCAAATAGAGTACCCCAAGAATGCATTTCTTGGGTAGAATATTCTATTATCGTGAAGTTTGCATTTTTTAACTCTATGGGTCCCCTCCTATTACCTAATATCGGAATGATCCACCTCTTAAATATTATCATAATAAGTTGGCCACTATTAGATTGCTTAATAATTAGCTTTCTTGATAATGGTAAATAAGCTATTATCTCCCCTATTAATCATCTTAGCCAACAAGATGGGGGATTAATTCATTATGAGAGAGGGAGAGAGGGAGATTATTATGGTGTTCATTGAAAAGGGAGGCCTTAGTTCATATAAGGATATACATTCATTGGCCTCTATTCGCTCTTTAATTATAAACCCGATTCTTGGTCAACTTCAAACTCTATATGATTTTCTTGTGTCATGGACCATCTAGTTATTCATTATCCCCCAATCACTTCATTGTAGTGGAGCATAATATTGACAATTATATAGAATTATCTCTCCCTCTCTCCTTGTATTCTTCCATAGAATAGTATAACACTACTAATCCATAACCTATTTGTTAGTGTTGGTGCCCAAGACTCAACCATGTTTGGATGGGCTTATGTTAATATGTCATTGCAGCATTTATTTTAATAATAATAAAGAAGTTACTCTATTAATTCTTATGTTTACATATTGATAAATTCAATAGAATTACATAGAAGCCCTTATGATATGCATTTGCAATCGTGATTGATCGAAAGATGTGAGACAAACACTAATGCACATAAATGATATCATTAAATGTCCTAAGTCATAGCATTGTCAAGAACGACATTGATAAAATACGGATAGACTTGTGAGTGCTCGTGCTCATGCTATTTAATAGCGAGTAGGAGATCTCACACCTATTGGTATAGTGATGCCAAAGCAAACACTTAGGTGATTAATGTTAGAGAACATATCATAGGACTTGACTCGCCATGAGAACCCACTAGGTTTTTAGTCTATACGAATCTCATATGAGATGGGTACAAATGGTCCTTAGACTTGAACTCATCACGATTATCTCATTGAAGGACTTATGCACTTTGATACTTGTTTTAATGGACCCATTAATGGGTTGCACGTGGGCGATTCGTTGGGTGCACTAGGAATCTAATGGAGATAAGTGTATGACTAAGACAAGACATGTCATTCCTTATATACTCAAGGAGTAATCACATTGCACTTAGATAAATTTCCGCTCAAGAAATCTATGGCTATAGTAGGAGTACACCAATAAAGCATAGTTGGTTTACTCTAGGAGCTAAGACATTTGGGAATCGAAGAAAACTTTTGTGATCATAATCAAATAAGACTAATAACCAAGTTTGAGATCACACTATGATAAGTTGACATGAGGACTAAATTGTATGTTAACTATGCTCGTGAAAGGTAATAATGGATTAACTAATCCTCCTAGAGAATTGGGTAGTCATGATGTCTTGCTAGAAGCCAATCTTGATTTATGTATCAAGAGATAAAAGATGAGTCTTTTATTCTTGATACATTGCCATCATATCTAAGAGTCTATCGAGTCACATGCATAAGTTCAAGTATTCACATTACAAATGAGAAACAAAGATATTGGAAAAAGTTTCTAATTATAAAAGTTTCCTATTTTGGAAAGAGTTTCCAAAATGGAAAGTTTTCTATTTTAGAAATCGATTTCCTAATTTGGAAGTTAGTTTCAAATTTAGAAATAAAGAACCTAAAAGGAAAGGAGTTTCCTAATTTAGGTTAAAAGGGTATTTTTTTAAATTGTTTCTTAATATGGACCCCGTTAAAATAATCTAAGAATATTTATTTGGATAGTCCAAATAAATTAATTGGGTTAAAATAGTTTTGGTCCATTAGGTTTAATTAAAATCCTTAAGATAATTTTGGTGAGAGGATAAACATCAACCTTACTCGGATAAGGATGAATGTTTTAAAGATAATAATCAAGTAGTCCACATATAAAATAACTCCTCATCCTTGGAGGATAAGGAAGCAATAACTTAGAGTCCTTTATGGACTCAAGGCAATCACTTTCCTTATCCTTGGAGGACAAGGAAACTCTCCTCCTATAAATAGGAGGAGGGGGCAAAAAGGAGAGGAGAACCTAATAGAGAATTTCGGCCAAAAAGAAAAAAAAAGGGGGGGGTGGGTGGGGGAATTCGGCCAGCCCCTAAAGTAGTATAGGGCACACGGCCAAGAGAGAAAAAAAGAGAAAATAGTTTTCTCCTAAAAACCTAGCAAGAAACACTCTTACCTTCTCCTTTAAGGTTGTCACAAAGTTGCCCGGGATTGGTTTCTAGAGGAAATCCTTAATCAAAAAAGGTGAAGCTAGCATCCCATTTATTTTAAGTGCTTCTTTGTGGATATTTAGGCTATGTGGATCATCAATAGAGGTCGGACACTTGGATGACTAATCAAAGAAAAGGAATTTAGATCCGCACTACAAGAGATAATCCTTTACTTTTATCTTGTTATTCATGTATATATGATTAGTAGATTCAACGAGCATGATCTTGGGCCCTTAGATGGACAAAAATTTTTATGTATTCCGTGACTCCATAGGATGCATGATCCTACACTATTACCTTGTTAATAGGATAGGGATAATATTATTCCTCCAAATGCTTACAAGTCTTCTCTCCCATCAACGTGGTGTAATCCTAGGTGTGTGTACCCTCTTTCCCTACCTCTCCCATAATGGGCCATTTTCATTAGAAAATATGATTTGTGACTTCCTAACTATTTAATATCAATTTAGTATATTAGGAATTACTAAAAGCCCTTTTACTCCCACTCGGTTAATAGAAATGGTTAATATGATTGGGTTAAATAAAAGAACAAAATGGCCTAAGGATTAATGGAGAGAGAGCTTCAGCTTGAACCGGGGAATACTCAAACCTCCCTATATAGAGATGATTAATCTGGAATTTACCTCCCTATATTTTGCGAGACAAGAGGGATAAATTGACCAATTCTATTTCAAATGATTGAATTAGGGAGGGAGGGGTTAACATAAATGATAAGTAGAGATGATGCAAAAGAAGAGTTGATGGCCCAAATAGGAGTCGTAGCTAATCAATTTGTTGTAGAAACCCTCTCGTTTAAATACTAAGAACCTATTATTTAACCTAAATGGTCATTGAAGGTGGAAAGATTGATTGCTTGAGGTTTATAATTATTATAAATTTTGTATAGCCTAGAATATTAATATTACCATAATATTATGATAATATTTTATTTAACCTCTCTATATATATATATATATATATATATCGAATTCTATATTATATCAATGTAAATTCATAAATAAGTAGGCTCTGCTCCAACAACATAAATAAGTACTAAAATTGCATCATGATCTAAATATTCACGATGAATAGCCACCCTTGTTTCAACATCGTTACATCAAAATGGGATTCTTGGAAATATAATCTTTAAATAAAACATATATTGGAAACAATTATTTATAAAAAGTTCTATATAATGTTGCTATAGAATACTTGTAGTGTCCCTTCTATAAGATGGACCTATTGGGAGGTTAATTCCTCATCTCTTGCCTATTATCAATGAGGGATAGGTATTATTACCATATTTAAGTAATAATATGCTAGATATTGACTATAACCAGTATATTAGAACTATACAATCATTTAAAGTAGCGAAATATTTTAAGTTAGGCAGATCAAAAATATTAGGATTATTCGTAGAAATTAGGGAGATATTAACTATTTTAATTGCCCACTAACATTATGCATAATGGCCAGTAAAAAGTGGATGACCCTTGTTTTTAATGAGTGGAGAGAGAAGAGGGAATAAATTGCAATGACTAATTACCAAGGAATCAACATAATTACTCTTTAGGAATTCGATTAATATTTGGTAACTTAGGGGAGAGAGGGAAGCCAAGTGTCTATATAGCATTCCCGGGATATATATCTTCTCCAGAATAATTAGACACGTGACTCACTATGGGATAATATTAACCCCCTATCCCAAGAGGGACTTCCTAAAAAAGGAGGTTAACTTAATAAGGTTACCCGTTTGATGCATAATAGTTCTCACGGAAAATAACATTGAGAGGCTAATATTATGTAGAGAACTATTTATTTAAGTCATAACTATGGGTAACCCTAATTTTAATCAAGTGGTATTACGATTAATTATCTCCCTCCAACTAGTAGAATTTTAAGCATTTTTCTAATGCATGGCTGGCCTATATAAAGAGAAAGTGAGGCCAACATATTAATTTTCTATATGAGAGTAATTAGACTAATATTTGCAGTAATTAAATTGTCCATCAATTGATTAAAACTATGCAAATGCACCTCCCCTATATTATATTGTAAGGAAATAATGTTTTTATATCATTGATGGGTAATAGACATTAGGAATAACCACATAAGATACGCAATAGCGTACATTAAAAGTTATCTAAGGAGGCCTTTTATTACATATGAATTTTAGGGTTTAATTGTTTAGGTTAAATACCCCTATTTGTCACCCTATTTCCCATAATATTATCATCGGAGAGGGTATGTGTACATAACATACAATAAGACATGGACACGCCCAATCATTTATGTATAAACCTCTATTATATCTTAACACCCTTGTTCACTTGAATACTTACCACTTGATAGATTCATTGCTTATATCATGTTCTACTATGCTAGATAGAGAGAGATAGAGAGAGGGGAAATGCTAGTGATATAGTTGATTTGACATTTGTTTCAAAGGGAAAGAATCCTTTAGCACCTTTGTTATGGAGATATAGGGCACTCTCTCTCCCTCTGTCTCTCCCATTTATCCTCCTTGATAGTCCGAGTGTAAGAATATGAATAAGCTATATGGTTATTTGAACGAGCATGATAAGGTGATTTGGGGATAGAAAGAGGGCCTAACTCTTCTTGGACTATTGGATTGGCAATAATTGTAAAAGATGAGTTTGCTAGGTTATGTACTACTTGAGTTATCTCCCTCTCTCCATCTAATACTACTTGGTATATTTTACTATTAAACATGAGATGGCGGGAACCATCATGATGAGTGCATATAACCAGCAAATTAAAAGTTTGATACTCCTTTTTATTAATTAACAAAACATCTATACATCACATTTATATTTCTAAGGGTTCTCATTATCGTGAATGGTAAAAAACTAGATTATTTAAAAGAGGGTTATGATCCACTAATTGACAAGAGAGAGAGAGAGAGAAGAATATCTTCATAAATATCATTAATATTCTTCATGATCCATCGATAAGGTACATTGGTCTAGGAACTTATCCACCAAGTACATAAAGACCTAACTTGAAAATCATGGTGAAAAAATTAATATATTGGAGCATACAAAATAATCATGGATAAATAATTAGGACTATTACTCGATTAGGGAACAATCTAGGGTGCCTTTGTTCTCCCTTGAAAGAGAAAGTATATTCGAGATCAACTAGATACATGTTAAATGATAATATAAATCCATTTACTCCATCTATTAAATCACTTATGGTGATTAAGAGAGACTTTAAGTCTATGTCGATGGTCTTTCACCATGATAATCTTTAAATATAGAAGGTGCATGATTATCTCTTATGTTCACTCACTCTTCCAATAATTATTAAAAGATTAGTTTTTATCTCTCCATCTCTCTCCTACTCTAGGCCTATGGGATGAATGTCCCATTATAGCCCGTTTGGCATCGAAAAGCTGTTCCCACTTTCCAATTCACCTTCTTTGATGGCCTTTGGACTCAAGATTTTTTTTTATAACTATATTGGGAATAAGTTATAATTATGTTTTATTTAAAGATTATCTTTTCAAGAATCCTATTTGAGGGAATAGTTTCATATTTGACCCTATGGGAGCTTATGTGCAATTCCTAAATATCATTTCATTGAGAGATATTTTGGAATTAAGAAAACATGAGTCTTGGACTATGTGGATTATCCATAGAGGTCTAATTGCTCCACATAATTTGACACCGAAGTAACTCTGGTTACCTTCGAGCATGTTACTCGTAAATAATGTTGAAATGGACCTTTTTATATTGTTAATATAAATTATATATATTAAGAGATATAATCATTAAATACTAAACAATATTATTCAATGCTCCGACATATTTAAAAGATTATTATTATTGATTATTTCTAGATTATTCCATAAATAATAGTCCAATATAGACTAATTAGGGGACCAATTTATGGTACTTTATTTGTAGGCTTTTTCTCTAAAATATATTATTTTCAATAATATAGTCATAAAATATCTATTATGACCATCATGAGAGAATTAATGACACTCTTAATTGGAATAAGTAAAGATACCCCCTCTCTACCTCCTACGATTTCAATCAAGAGATGGATAAAATTTATAGCTAATGGACCTATTAGCAACATGAGTTCCAAATAATGGGTCATTAATTCTAGATTATGATAATTGTTATCTATTTGGATGTAGGAAATGAAAACAATACTGTTGGTCCAATCAACGAATAGTACCTACCCCTTTATGGAGGTGATAGAATAGAGGCATATTTTATATTTTGAGGGATGGGCCTTATAACCCCCTCCCCTATAAAGGTCTGTTCTCAATGTTGTATGCCCCTCCCGATCTGTTTCTTGGTTGGAGAGGGGGAAAATCAATTACCCGGGTACATCCCTTTTCTTGATGATCCTCCTCATTCAAAATTAGGAGAGTAATACTTACCATCTCACTCGTGAAAACATCACACAAAACCTCATCCTCGTATCATTTTATTTAAATATTACATGGTTTAATAATATAAATATTTATGTTAGTTAGACAACATAAATTAATACAATACAATATTACTATATCCTACAAAATATACTATGTAATATTTAAATATAAGGAGGGTCGAGAGGACTTCTCTATCTCTTTAGGAATACCTTCACCTTTCATTGCCTAGTCTTCACTACTAGTTTTACTCTCTCCTTAGTGATTAATATCCTCTTTTGCTAGGGAGACTCCCATCTCTCTCTATTAATGGAAGAGATGACATAGGAGTGATGAATCAAATACTATATCGTGAAGAGTATAATTATTCAGTATGAGAGAGGAATTGATACATTCGAAGTATATTTATGATCACCCTTATCCCTAAATGGTCCATTTTTGATATACCGTTCAAGCTATGGTTTAATATCTTTTTTCAATATCTCATGAATATCATTTTAATTATTTACTGTTTCCTATAATTGATTAGAAAGTCCCCCATACACTCTCTAATATAATATCCTATTAGAGGTCCCTTTGTATGAGGCATTTACCATGGTTAGATGGTAGAGAGAGAAAGAGGGGATCCTCTCTTTTTCAAAGCTTAGTAAAACTACGGAGACTAAGAATCACACTAAAAATAGAGATTGTTCCCCTTTATTATTGTACTTAAATATTAATTATAGAGACTCTCCCTCTCTCGTTCTAGAGAGACCTGTCTTTTATGATTGTCCGAAGTTAACATTGGTAATAACTCTCTTCCATAGGTTACGAGGGTGTTGATTTAATCATTATTGTTCAAACCTATTAGCATGATAGTAGAATGACAGTATTCCCATACCTATTAAGACTATGGCGTAATATACCATTATCCTTCTCCTTTGAATAAGTTAAAAAAATTTTCAAAACTTAAATTACGATAACATCTAATAGGAATAACCTATTAAGACTCACTTCAAGCATAATTTGATACCTTTTAATTAGTTTGTGCCCTAATAAATACCCCTAATTTAAGTGTGACTATGATGGTTAAGAGACTCTATTGTATGGAAGTGCCCCCACTAACATACCCCTTCTCCTAGTTTACCTTTATGAATACCTATTGCATCCATGTCTATCAATCCTACTAACTTGATGGATATATGTACATATCAAGGCACAATGGAGGAATAAGTTACTAAGGGCACTTTCAACGATAATGTGTAGCTAACACAACTTGATTATAAGAAAAGGCTATAATTTGGAATACCAAATCACACTCGTTAGAGTGGTAAAGTGAAACTATTGTATTCCTTGATAGCATATATACATATATCCATTATCTTAAGTACATACCCAAAGATACGGAACAATCATATATTGTGTGACATCATAAGTGAATCAAAGGATAACTACATCCAAGCCTGCAATGGTAAAGGGTTAACATATCACTCTTTCAACACATATATTATTTGTAGGCATGTTCTTCACAATTAGTTGTTAATATAATCTAGTGGTCGAAATTCAATAAGCATGTGCTCATGATTATCTAAAGAGATGAGGGAGTGATTAGTCTATTATATCCAATCCTATATAATCTATCTAGTCATTAGAACAATCCCCTCTTTCCCTTTCAATACGGCTAATGAATATTTTTCAACAATTGAAAATATTAGTATATTAATATTGGGAGAGTGTATACTGAATATTTTTCAACAATTGGAAATATTAGTATATTAATATTGGGAGAGTGTATCCTCACTTATTTTAGTAAATAGATAATTGATTAAAAATGATTCAATGATATTTGATAGAAATTAATGTCCCTCTTAGGAGAGACCTATATTGAGAAACGTGGTTTTTTCTACTCGAATGGAGAGTTAATTAGCTTTCCTATCCTAAAAATATTGATTGGTATTATGGGTAAAACCCTCGGAGAAAGGGATAATTGTAACATAATCCTTTAAGAATGGAATCGGTGGCTTATGATACCATGACGAACACCTATCTTGGTATATTCATTATACCGAGGCTAGACTCATTTATTTTATAATAATTTTATGAGGACCAAGCCCCGATAGGATTCCATCTAATTTTGTCACCTTTGATTATGATTTATATTATAGGTGACTAGGTTAACATATCACTCTTTCAACTCGTTAAGGAATATCATGATTATTGTAAAGGTAAAAGTAGTAAAATATGAGACGAAGGTGGGGAGGATTCCATTTAGATCACATCGTTTAAGCACATATTATATTTTGTAATGGATATTGGTTCTCATTACTCTTAGTTGTAGAAATCTTAATAGATATTTAATAGAGACATAAATAGACCCTTTTAAATAATCACCTTGGTCTCATTCCCAAACTTAATAGTTGTCATAAAGGGACACCATATGATCTTCCTTATCACATTAAAAGGCAAATAAAACTATAGGTATTGAATAAGATATATTTAATGAAAATGGAAGATGATCTATAAAACTAGGTATATTTAGTGTGAACTTGTTATTAAGTTAACAATGGAAGAAGTCGAATGATCGGTGTATTAACAAATAGGGGTAGTGAGTAGGAAAATACCTAGTTTATATGTCTTGGTATTCTTTTTAACGTCCTTCATGAAATATAGTTATGGAGAGTCTAGTTGGATAGGCGAGACAAAAGGAGAGATAGATGGAGAGGGAGAGATAGATAGAGAGATAAACTATACTCTTGTAGAATCGTGAGAGAGATTATAAACTAATAGGGGGATAATCAATCTTATAAATCTCTTTTCCTAATATAATATAGGGATAATATACTAACATATACTCATAATATGGAGGGTAGGTTTACATTAGAAATATAATAGGTAGGTGCCCCTAAACGGAGAGGGGTTTATTAAAATGGTATAACCCTATCATATAGATAAATAAACCAATATATTGAGAAGCCATGTGATAATTTATGAATAGCAATGGGGAATAGGCAAATAATTGTATGATTGGCATGTTCCCTCATATGGTCCTTACAATTATTGTTACGTGTGAACAAACTGGATATCAAGAATTCTCTATAATGATGCCCTATAGTTTATATGTTATCTTCCATCTCTTCCTTAACATAATCGGCTTCTAATCACCTACATAGGTAATATATATAGTCCATTTGTATGATTAGAATTATGATTATTGATAAGGAGTAGCTAATGGTTAAATTAGCCGAGATTCAAGGGAATGATGAGGACCAATAATCATGATTGTTCTCTCTTAATATTCAATATACCATCAAGACACGTGCATATAACCCATCAAGAATGCCAATATCTCTATTTTTTGCAAACTCTTATCAATATTGCGAACTAATATTTAGACTAAAAAATGAGCTCATAATATTATGATTCAATTATTTGTTGTAGTCACATGCTCGTGTCTCTATGATATATGATAATGGCCTTCTAGTTATTGATACCTAGTTCCCAAATATACATTATTTGTTAATAACTCAAGAGATATTGGCGCACAACCTATCAAACTATGATAGGGACTGGGATAACATATTAGGTAAACAAATTATAGAACTTTGGCCAATTCATCGAGAGGGAGGGAGTATATTCAATAGAGAGAACCAATTAGTGCCTAAATTCATGTACGATTAGAAACATATGGCCCTAGTTTATAGGCGAACCTATCACTATATCTAATAAGCTATTAAGTCTATAAAATGGAGAGGGAAAAAGAGACAATATTAGTGGGTGATCTAATGGCTATATTACATCTTTATATGGTTCTCCTTCATGATAGATAACTCTCTGTGTGCATGTCAACATGTCTTGATTCTTATGGTAGGTAATGTGAATTCTCTCTATAATTCAATGTTTCCTATTTAAATAATATCACCTCACTTTTTCTTACCTTTAAGCATGCTATTTTCTCCCATTCTGCACGTGTCTCTCATGATGTTAAAATTTATAGGTACCATGCTCCAAGGTAACCAGGTTACAAAGTCATGTGATTATAGACTTAACAAAATACATTAGAGGACCTAAAACAATTATTGCTTGATAGCATAATCTATTCTCGTTCGTACAAAATTCAAAATAGACAAAGAATTTTGTTTGGAGTCACTTAATATTATCATAATAGGGAGGAATATTTATACCAAAAAGATGACCTATCATTATTAGTAGATAATTTTTTTTAATATTCCTATTAATTATGGAGTTAATAGGTTAAGAATTCATATATATATAGTGCACTTCTCCCTCAATTGGGAATAATGGCCCAAGATGAATCAAATACTCCACCTTGGTATTTACTATTATAGTTCGTACTTATTCATGTCACCAAGTTTAGATAATCATACCAACCCTCTATATTATAAGTCAGTTAGACACCGAGTTAATGCATATGTGCATCAATATAATTAACTCCTAAGGAGATATCCTATTTCAAGAGGGCTAATCAATTAAATACCAATTTTGCTAATTATGTTATCATACCAAATTATTCTCCTATATAATACTCCCTCAAAAGGGGAACAATTATGTTATTTTTTCTCCCTTATACTGAACACAAATTAATATGTTACCACAACATTGACCCTTGCCCCCATTCAACTATCAAACAAGTATATGGTAGTCCTTTAGTAATTCTCCTTACCACTTGATTATAGTATCTACTATTCCATTTGATTTCTATATCGACCCCAAGCCCTAATCTTTCCATATAATACTCCCTTGACATCAATACTCTCCCTCTCCCTCTCTCCATCTCGCTCCTTTACTCTCTCCTTATCTCTAGGCTTAATCTCTATCTCTCTTTTTTGTTGAGAATGTACATGGAAGGAGTTCTCACCATGAGTATGGATGGATGAGGGAGGGAGAGAGAGGGAGAGATGGAAGTATAAATCTAATTATATTGTTGGATACCTTGCAATACACTAACGGATCTACTATCAAGCTAATGTGGATGACACATATTAATTATGATAAATAAGTGAGAGGACCTAGTATCGGAGGAATTGACAAGGTCTAAGTTGATGTAAATATCCTATAAAGGTAACAAAATATGACTCGCTTGATGTTGGTAATTATTCTCCTACCGTACTAGTATATAGCCATTGTAATGAACTACATCATCCTCGAGGGCCTAACCGTTGATAATTTAGACCAAAAAACCAAGTTAATTCTCTTATATGACTTTGAATGAATCCGTATACCAAGGTTATACAATATTTTTGTCAAGTAGCTCATATATTAGTGATCATATAGCTAATATACCACATGATAATTTACTATTAAAGCTTCTCGACATTAGTCCATCTACAAAGTCATGTGTTGGTAAATTAACTTGGTTTTTTTATTTAAATTATCAAAGGTTAGGCCCTTGAGGATGATAGGTTACAAAATTATAAGTAAGAGGGCATTATGACTTGGGCTAAAGAAGAGAGGGAGATATAGGGTAGATTAAAAATGGCCCTAATAGCCTTATTCCAATTATGAAGCCAACTATCGACTACTAGATAGTATCAATGGATAATCCTTCCCTATAGTTAAATTAGAAGGGTGATATGGCACATAAGGAGAGAGTGCCCTCTTATTGACTTGGTTTTGGGCCTCCCATGGAGGTTAAGTGATAGTTATGATAACCCTCCTTTGAAAAGATTTGATACATAGTCAATAATTATATCACCGAGTGATATAGGTTAACATATAATATGGAAGGAATCCTAATGTATGTATGAATATTAGTATGGAGATACCCCGATCCGGAGAACTTGACCTATGAACGCACCTACAATTTTAGAGGGAAAGTCCCTACTCGATTGATTATCCAAGCATGTGCTTATAACTGTGATAACTATATTTACGACAATTTAATATACATTGATCACCCGATGAAATATCTTCAAATCAACAAGTCGTGTATAGATCAATAGTAATCAAGAGATGTTTAGAACCTTCTATCCAATGAGTAATCCATTATCCAAGGAGTCTCTATCATTAATGATTATGGTCACTTACCCTCATCAATAGTCCAATTAATATCTAATCAATGTTACTAATATCTATATGTAGGTTAATATCAATGTTACTAATATGTAGTATGGAGATCTCCTATCATCCTTATGACAATAGTAGGAAATCTATGAAGATTAGGTCAAAATAT